TTTTCTTCCAAAGAGCAGGTGTCTTTTAATTTCATGGCTGCAGTCACCATCCGCAGTGATTTTGGAGCCCAAGAAAATAAAATCTGTCCCTGTTTCTACTTTTTCCTATCTATTTGCCATGAAGTGATGGGATCAGTTACTATGAGCTTAGTTTTTTGGATATTGAGTTTTAAACCAGCTTTTTCACTCTCCTCTTTCACCGTCTTTTTCATCAAGAGGCTCTTTAGTTCCTCTTCACTTTCTACCATTAGAGTATTATCATCTGCATATCATCTGCATAGGGAGTCTGCTCAGCTCAAGCAGATTCATAAAGTGATCCCACAAGTCAATATGTTAAGAATGATGAGAGCTAAGTTTACTACTGTTAAAGGTAAATTAAGGCTTAAAAAGAATCATGAGGTGATGGATTAAAATTGGACATACATATCACTCATGGCCTAAAAATATATCTATGTATGGAACTAGATCTTTGTCAAGAGATACTGAATTAGTTAGAGATGTGTGTGTGTGTGTGTGTGTGTGTGTGGTTGTATATGTATGTATGCGTGAACATGTATTTATGTGTGTGTGTGTGTGTATATATATATATATATATATATATATATATATATATACTGTCTGGCTCTGTCCACCAAGAAGGCCTAGGAGCATTGAAACTTGGATAGCAATGAACATAATAAACACCCAGTCTTTAGTTTCCAAATACAAAACCTACACTGAAAGAACCAAGATTGGAAAACCTGTTGATTCTGGACTAGGACATTGAAATTCCAACTTTACGTAGAACATCTTACTGTGACAGAAAGTAAATAAATGTTCAAAGAATGATAGGAATGTGCCACGATATCACTCTCAGGATTCTCACTGGCTGAATTTAGGAAAATTGGAGTCTCAAAATAGATAATGGTAGGAAAGGAATATACCCCACTGAATAAAAATATAAATACGTCTATACTTATATGTCTATTATATGAATATATAAACATATATGTCTATTATATAAATATGTCTGATTCATTGGAAAAGACCCTGATGCTGGGAAAGATTGAAGGCAGGAGGAAAAGGGGATGAGATAGGATGAGATGGTTGGATGGCATCACCTACTTGATGGACATAAGTTTGAGCAAGCTCCAGGAGTTAGTGATGGTCAGGGAAGCCTGGTGTCCTGCAGTTCATAGGGTGGCAAAGAGTTGGACATGACTAGGTGACTGAACTGAACTGATGTCTGTACTGATATAGCTAAATGAACTAAAATGAATGAATCAGAAAATAATTGGGAAAAATGAAAAGCTTTTCTGTATAGTAGAATGTTAATAATAAATGTAGAAAAAACAATAGTCTGCAAAGACACTGCAGGCCTACTATTATTGTGGTAATTGATTCAGAAGAGAATTGTTCAATGGAAACCAAACTGATGGGTGGTGATTTGGTGGGAAATAGGATATTAATATAATCCTGGATTATGTCTCCATAAATTGAATATATCAGTTACAAAAGGTAGGAGAGGAAGGTGATTATGTGGGGAAACCTGGTTAAAAGAATATGACCAGGTGTTAAAGGTCAACATCCCCACTGGTAGGCAGCATCAACATGGCGGGCCCCTCATGTGAAGGATGGAGAAAAGGGCATGATTTCTGTAGTTTCTCTACTGTGAAAGCATATCTTGAGTCCAGTAATGAGGAAACCTCAGGTGGATCCAAATTCAGGGTCATTCGACAATATTTAAGGTCAACATTTTTTATTTTGGTTTTTTGTTTGTTTGTTTTTGTATATTATTTTTTTTTACTTGACCACGCCATGTGTCATATGGGATCTAGTGTTCTGATCAGGAATCGAACTTGTGCCTCTTACACTGGCAGCTCAGAGTCTTAGCCATTGGATCATCAGGGACGTTCCTTGATCTACATTTTTTAAAGCTGTGAGGCTCAAGAACACAGACAAGAGAGGAAGTCTTCCACTTAGGAGAAAGCAAAAGAAACAATAACAAATTAATGAAATATGTACTCCTGAATGGAATTCTGAACTAATAAAATAGGAGATTTGACTTGCATAGTTAGTGAAATGTGAAAGCTATGTAAGGATTAGAGGATTATGTCACATCAATTACGATTTCCTAACTTGAAGGATTATATAGTAAGGGTAATAGGGCACCCCAACTATTACTTGATATATGGCTCAGAAAAAGGCGGCTAATAATGGACATAAATACATATATATTATATATGGAATTGAGAGTTAACAGCTGGGGAATTCTTTGTATAACCTATTTAAAATATGGTGGTATTGACTAAGATCTATAGGTGCAATTGGGACTTGAATCTAACTCAGAATCAATATTCATTATCACATTTCAGTACAATTTGTAATTTTGTTACCATTGACAGTATTCTCTGGGATGCCTTGTCTTATTTCTGACTTCGCTTTTAAATTTGACCTGAAGTCTTCTTGACCATGTGACTATATCTCTCACAGTTGTGATCCATCAGCCTCTGGCCTTTCGCATCCTTGACACACACAGTCAGCCTAGAGCCTGTGCAGTTGATTCTGTGGAACAGTAATGGTATACTATTTTTATATACACTTTTGTTTTTAATGGTTAGCTGCTATTTTTTCAATATTTATTTTTATTTAATTGGCTGTGCTAGGTCTTAGTTGCAACAGGCAAAATCTTTGTTCATCATTGTGTCATACAGGAATTTTTTAATTTTTTGAAGTTGTGGCTTGTGGGATCTTTAATTGCATCATGTAGGATCTAGCTCCCTGACCAAGAATCAAACCTGGGTCCCCAGGACTGGAAGCATGAGTCTTAGCCACTGGACCACCAGGAAATTTCTCTTTAACAGTATATTTGTAATTTCACTGCTGTAATAACTGTACTACAGCCCTAACAGCATTGTTAGGGGTGAAAGAGCATGTTGGAACTAGAAGGGAACTTGTAAGATGATGCAGTCCAACTCTTTCATTTTATAATTGAGCAAAGTGGATTCCAGAGAGCTGAAGTAATTTTCCTAATATCAGCTGTGTAATTAATGGCAGAATCATTATGTGTACTTTGGTCTCTGACTCCCAGCCACTGCTCCTCAACAGCTGCTGTGTAGAAATCCTGCATTTGGTTCATAGAGCCTTGTAAATGTAGCTGTCTATTTGATGGGAAGTTTAGCATATATGTGTGTGTTTAGTCACTCAATTGTGTCCGACTCTTTGCGACCCCGTGGGCCGTAGCCCACCAGGCTCCTCTATCCATGGGATTCTCCAGGCAAGAATACTGGAGTGGGTTGCCATTTCCTTCTCCAGGGGGTCTTCCAGACCCAGGGATCGAACCTGCATCTCTTGTGTCTTCTGCATTGGCAGGCAGAGTCTTTACCACTGCACCGCTCAGGAAGCCCTAAGCATACAGTGGGGCACACTTTACTCACTTTGCTGATCGGTCTATCAGTCCTGAGAGATTAAGAGCCCTAGCATTGTATGCTCCTTGCCTTTATTCTACCACACCCCCTCT